AGTAGAAACGTCTCTAGTTGGATGAATTTGGGCGCTTCTGTAGTGACCCGTACATTTCCTAAAATCATGGCTTGTTAACGGGCACCACTTTAGGAAGTACTGGCGGTTTAACCACCCAGGACCATCACCCATCTCCATCTTGGTGGGGGAGATGGAGGGACCTGACTAGAATGGTTCCAGCTGCTTCCCAAGACCTAACAAACCGGAGCTCTAATATACAAGAAAAGTGTAGCGTAGAAGGGGGGGGGGGGGGAAATGAAAAAATAAAAAAAAATCACAAAGACACAGGAAAGAAGGCAAAACTTTCTTCGAAAAAATCACCAGAAACAATGTTCCCAGTAGTTGCCATCAATAGTGACCAGTTATAGTCAAGCAACCCACTTTTGTCGAAATCATCTGATTCCAACCCTCAAAGACGAAACTCCGTGAACCCTCTTCTCCAGTCAAGAAAATTCATCTGTCTCTCACGACTCTCAAGGCCTTTTTTGGACATTTTTGATTGCCACGAGTACTGGGTAGACCCTTGGAAGCAGGGCACCATCTCTGACGAGCTTACTCAGCACACAGTAAGACTGGCATACTCTCTTCCGATGCCCAGCGTCGATATCGGATTGGATATACGCTGAACACAGAAGAACTCTGCTGAAGTAAAAAAACAATGGCCTTTTCCTATACAGCCTCATGGCATGCCCACACACTACGACCTTTTGACTTTTTTCTGGGCGTGATCGCACCCATATACATCCAAATCGGGCATCAATTGCTGTCAGATAGTGCCAGTGCTATTGTGCTCTAAGAGAGTTTTCCCCTTCTGGAAGCTACTACCGGCTTTCCCAGTTGCCACATACGCTAGCTTGTCATGGTTAAAGCACAAGTACCTGCGAAAGTGGTGACGTCATGGTTAACAAGCCATGACAATGATGAACGAACGGGCCACTACGGGAGCCCCCAAATTCGTCCGACTAGAAACGCTTCAAACGCTATTTTCTCCTGTGGCCGATGTGTGGGAAAGGTACGGGTGGTTTAAGCGTGCATCATGCAGTGCCAACTGTAGCTGTAGCTATAGCTATCGTGTTTCATCGACTTCATGAGGGACGCCCTTCCTACGAAAAGTGTTTGTCTGGCTTAAAGTTTGTTGTTGAAGATTTTGGCAGTTCCTCTGGATAACATGTCTAAATGTCAGACATCTTCTGGCAATGGTGGCCCAGCCAGGCTCCGATGCATACGGAGTTGGGGGATCTTTGGCCCAAATTGAATGACTACACATCTTTGGCCTAATGACTGCACAATGGTAACAATACTTTTGGGAACGGTTCTCATTTCGGCTTCCAAGCAATCAAGCATTTCCTTATGAGACAGTATGTGTGCTGATTCTTTGGAGCCCTTGGAGACTATGTAATAATGATAATAAGGTTAAAAAGCCACCATTACTTGGTTCATACATCGGCGGCGGGATCCTCACCGCAACTTTCGGAGGCTGTGAGTGCGAAAATGGCCGTTGATGAAATTTATCAACAGCGGTGAGGCCCCGAAAGTTGCGGCGCGTGTGGGAAAAGGGCCCGTGGCCGATGTATGGGCCAAGCACTGGTGGTTTAAGGCGTCAATCCCATCTTCCCTCTCTAGGGTCCAAACCTAGCTCTATGGAACACGTAGCAAGCCTGAATGCATAGTACTCAATAGTTAAAGTTCAGTTCCTATAGCCAACACAGATACTGGCAGTACTGGCAATAGTCCTTGCAGATCTGAAGCAGTCGATGCAACAAAGATCCACCTCAAGGGTTTACCAAGTCCTTTTTTTTTTTTTTTTTTGTGTGTG